TTCCCGTCCTAAAGAACTTCAAGGTTACAAAAGAAATAATCAAGTTTTCTCTTGACATATGACTCCACCCACCCACCCTTTTTCCTACTAAACTTCAAAAATGAGTAACACTTCCGCATTTTTTCTCCATCCTTCCAGTTCAAAATGGCGTGAAAACGAAGCGAAATTTTTCCCGGTTTTCTGGGTCCCGGATAAATGGTTCTGTACTGTATCAGCTAAGTATATAATTTTCAAAGTGATATCTATTTGAAGTATGATTCTTTTTTTCCAAAGCTCGGTTGATGTTATTAGGTATAATTAACAGTGACAAAAGTTTCTCTTAAAATTAGCACAATGCCTCGTTATTTTAAACATGGTTGAAGATTTTTTTTTTGCTCTGATGTTGTTGGAGCACAGATTTTAATAGCATAAAGAATGTTTTAAATATATCAAAAATACTATCTAAAATATCAGTAAATGCCCTTAAATGAAGAAGGAAAAAAAATTCTTCTAGTAAACAAAAATTTCAGTCTGAAACATTTTACCTCTAAATTTTCATATAGCATACAATTGAACCAAATTAGAAATATTTACAGAAATTGCGATGTGATTCTCAATAAAATTTTTATGAATTGAAAATGCTAACATAATAGGGAACTGCTAGAAAAAGAAGCCTAACATAATTCTTTATATAGTGATACCTTCCTTGATCCTGTGTCTAAACAACTGTTGATATGCTTACTTTTTTGTTTAAATAAGTTGAAACGCTTGTGTATTTTTATTGTTCCTTATATACTGTGATTTTTAAATGCAACTCACGTTTAACGTAGAAAAGTAAATCACCGCCGCAACAGTCATGGAGGTCAAGGCTGAGCGATTTCGAGACCATGATTTGAACAGTATGGGAACATTGTGTGCCAATCACCTTTATTTTCTAGACTAGCTGATATCTTAACTTTCTGAATCTGTGTGCCCCTCTAGCTACCACAGGGGATACAACCTGATCTTTCACTACTATAGTTCAGTGCCTTAACTAATAAGCTATTGCGGCTCGCATAGTAATTACTCTGCCAGTAGTAAACGAACTTTCGATGACATCAGAAACATTCTTACGCAAGTTTTTTGTTAATATTATTTTATAGTCATCATTAAAAAGCCACTCAGATTTTGAGTTTGCAACTACCAATGTTCAACTCCGTAGCTTTGTAATTTTGAACCCAAGATAAGAGAACTCTTAAACCAAGTATTAAGGGAAATTCGCCTTTGTGGTAGACTTTTTGATAGAACTAATCTGCATTTGCATTACATTGATAGGAAGAACCGTGAAAACCTCCCACAGTTAGCCTGACAGCAAGGGGACTCTAACTCCTGATTCGTCTACAACTGAGGATATTTTGCGTCATTACTGTGGTCGGTGCTAGCCAGGTGCGGAATGCGTATCTACCAGACATCGCTGGGATTCGAAACTGTGGCTGTAAGATTTAGAGGGTTGCAAAGTACTTTTCTTAAATATGCTGTATTATTTTATCATTAGACTGCAAATCAGCTACACTTATGCCTTCCAAACCAATTTACAACGGTTTAGGCTGATATGGGGTACTAAGTGTTCATGAGTGGGTTCCCCATTAGGTACAGGCATTTATGGAGATATTGTAAATTTCGATGTTCTTGTGTTCTGTCTTCTCTTAATGTCCATTTCTGAAACTTATTCACTGCTTCAAGGGTCATATTTTTTTCATAACTGTACTGCATTAAATGGTACAACTATAATAAAATTGTAGGAAATAGTAACAATGAACTAGAGTCTTAAAAACTTAATATGCGTAACATATGGAAGGAAATAAAGTTGCTCAAGACATTGATAGTTGCGAAACTTAAAAAATTTCTCATTAAAGGGCACCCCCCCCCCCAAAAAAAAAGAAATACAAAATCTCAAACATTTTTGAGAGAGAAGGAGTATAATGCAAACGCCATCAATATCCAGGCCTTAGTGATTATTGTTGTCTCTTTGCTGAGTAATTATTATCATAAGTCACAAAGTTACATTTGTATATATTAAATAATAGACATAATTGAGAAATTTTATAGGAAACTTTATTATTTGTAATTGAGACAACTTTTCTAACTATGGAACCAATACGTTAATTAAGAATTTTTCTTTGCAGATGAGGCACCTCAGGTATCAAAACCAAAAGCACCTTCTAAACAGAATTCTCCTTCGAAAGATAGTTTGCATAAAAAATTGTGCAGAGGATTGAATGAAATAGGTTTGTCATATGATGCCATTTTTATAATGATATTCCAGTGTTTTCTTCTATTTAGACATAATGTGTATGTTTTTTTTAATATACAATACAATAATATAAGTTTAATTAATGCTGGTTATTTTTTATATAAATATTGCTTCTTCTCAAAGTATATAATTTCAGACCTGCCAACTCTCCTGCTTTTAGCAGGAGTCTCCTGCTTTTGCCTCAAATCTTCGCCATCAGACTTTCAGGGTGTTTTCTCCTGCTTTTTTCTATTTAGTGCAAGATAGAGGAAAAAAACAACAATTTGTGCAATTTCCTTCCCAACTTGTGCTTCAGATCATGCTGGGCATTTATTTAGAAAAATTTTGCCCCATAGCAACATCACTAAAAATTACGGTGAGTGTGAACCAAAACAGCAGCAATAACCAATTAAATGGCAAAATCGGAGATATCTTGGACACCATTAGGCAAAATGTTTTTTTCACTTTCTATAGATGCCAGTTTTTTTTTTTAAATAATGCTAAATCAGCAACATCTGCAGTTTTAAAACAGTAGCAGTTAAAAAAAAATTAAGAAATACATTTATAAAGTATTGTATTCATTATTGACATATTTTGTAAGATTTGAACTTCTTCCTAAATTTGAAAAAAATCAAAAGATTTGTTTTAATTTAATTCTATAGAACCTTATATTTTATAGTAAGAACACGTATCTTTATTAGTCAGTGTCAGAATCTTATTGTGGTCTATTTTATGTAATGTAAATAATATATTTTGAAATAAACTTCTTGTAGGAAGTGTGAATCAGGTTTAATTTTCAATATTGCGCTATGTCGTGATACAGAAAGAATCTCCTGCTTTTTTATTTTCTAAGGTTGGCAGGTCTGTAATTTTTAGGTTGTTTTTGTACAAAATTGTTTCTTTGGTTATTATTATCATATGGTGTATGTTTCTCTATATACAAGGTTCCTTTAATTTGTTTAGCTTAGTATGAAACTACTTCATTAGATCCAGATGCCACAAGTTTGTAAATTAATGTATTAAAAAAGGATTACCATTTGGAGTGATAAAATGTCCACTCTGACTTTTATAAGTGAGAATTGGTAGATATTAAGGAACATTAAATGGTTGTTAAAACAATGAAAAGTAACATTATAAACTAAGACAACAAATTGAACAACATGCTGCAATTTACGCAAAATCCCAACTATAATGTAACAATCCAGATGAGCCAAATATTTCATTATCTGAAAACTTTTCCATCATCTTCACATATTGAAATGTCCCTAGCAAGGGCGTCGGCAGCGGGATGACCCCCCCTGGCTTTTTTTTTAAACAATTGAAAAGCTACAGAAAAAAAATTTTGATATAAATTTTTTTTATTAAAAATATTTTTATTCAAAAACAAATAATTAAGTAATTATTGATACATAACAATAAAAAAATTGTTTAATCAAGCAAGTTTTGTAATCGTCTTGTTTGCTGTTTGCACTAGTACCAGGATTAGTCTTTGAAATAAAATCTGAACTAGTGCTTATACTAGAGTTTAGACTAGAATTGTCAGCTTTACGCTTTTTGCAAAAATAACTTCTGATATCACTTTTAATTTTTTTTTACAAGCATGCCATACTTTCCTGTAAGAAAAAAATTAAATTGAGTATTGAACAAACACTCATTCAGCATTTAAAAATACTCCTCTCGGAATTTCATTATTGTAAATACTGATTAAGTACTTAAGAAAATTCTATTAAAAATGTATATATAAATCTGTAAAAAAATACTTACGTAAAATTACTTTTTTCTACAAAAAATATCAGAATGCAGTCAATTTGTAAAATCTATTCACAAGTCGAACACTCGAAAGTAATTTTTTATCTAAACTGTCAAAAAAAAGATTTTTTTGGGAGGCAGATATCTAAGCTATATTTTTAAATTTTATTTAATAAAGGATAAATAATATTATATATTCTATTAGTTATTTAGCTTAACAAAGGTGTATTACACAAACTGACTTCTCACAACTGTTAAACTTCATCAATACAATATATGCAAATGTTAAGCGTGCACAAACACGTTAGTATACGAAACTATTGTTTGTAGTTATTTGTGTTTCAAAGTCAGTAGCTATGCCAGCCCCATCAATACAGTTTCTCATGGCAAAATTTGCAAGTACAAGAAATTCTTACTTTTTTTAAAAATATCTTGTTAACAATGAGGAAATGTATCTTGAAAAAAAAAATTAACAAATGAAAGTAGTATATGTAATAACAAACAAAATGTAATAACAGAATATTTGGGGGGAAAATTTTGAGGGGGGGATTTGTTGGGGGTTGCACCCTCCTTTATTTTATTCTACCATCGCGCTTGGTCCCTAGGATAAAACTGGAACAGTAATTCCTCGACAAGGGGGTTTTACGTCAGTCAATGATGATACACCCGCTATGCCAGTACACTAGGAGTTATAAATTCGAAGATTCGATACTGACATTGTAGATAAAATGCCACTTGTTTGTCTAAACTGTGCAGCTTCACACTATTTGTATTTCATTTTTCTTTATCCGTCACAAAAATATATAAATTTTCTACATTGGAACTATTTTATATTTCCATTTAAATTTTTTTTTTTAATTTCCAGTTTGAAATATTTTATATTTATAATTTACAAAATACAAAAAAAAAACATTTTTTTTTTGTTGACAGCTATAGGGTTTAGCTATAGGTATTTACAAAAAAAAACTACAATTCAAAGAATTTGTAATATCGCACAATTGTGATGAAATATGCTATCTTGTAGACTTAGACTTGGAGCAGGGCGGCCTCGAAAGAAGGAGGAGTTATAGTTTAGGGGGCCACGGCACTTGTTTTCTGACGTCACGCATTACGATCCAGATAAGTTTCTTCACTTTTTCTTTAGTAATTTGAATGAAGTCAAAAAGAGATAGCTTTATTCATAAAATTTCTAGCTCTGCTAGAAAGGGAATCTTCGTTTTAACAAAAACATTGTATTTACTTAAAAATAATTTCAAAAGAATATTAATTTAGTTATTTGTATGTGAAGTAGTGCAGAAAAATAACTTTTTCATCTATCTGCATATTTATAAGTTATCAGTTAAGTTGACTTAAAACGAATTTCAAGTAATTTTTTAAAATATCTCTTCTGCTTAAATTACGTGACATTAATTAGAATTTAATTTACTCTAATTCAACATAATTTATTTTGTGCATGTATTCCAGCTTCTTTTGCATCTTAAATTACCAAACCTTTAGCCTCATAAAATTTAGTGCTAATGAAATTATCATCCATAAGAAAAGTTTAATCTGAATGTATAGAGAGATAACTAGCCAATTTAATAAATGTTATGAGTTTCGTTAAAACATTTTAATTACAGATGGTAAATATTTCTTCTCCAAGTTATCTTTTTTTAATTCAAAAAAATAAAAATGTGATTTAGCTATGATGTTGCTTAACAATTATTTATTGCAAATTATATTTTAAATCCATATAAGTTGAACAACCTACTACACTTTTTTGGATTCAACTAAATCTTCATTCAATTTATTGATATTTACTAATAGGAAGTTTTGAATTAAATAATTGGAATACTTTCAGGTAGGAGATCTTTAACCAACAAAAGCAAAATATAATTTTTTTTTTCATCACCACTCGTAAAATAACAAATTTTATATAAGCCTTAGAAGAAATTCCTTAGAATTTTAATGAAAATGCTTGAAATTCCAAAAGCTAATATTTCTTTAATGCAATCATACAACAAATAAGAACAAAACACGAACAATTAGAATAATAACTAGTAGTGCATTCATTATTTTCTGAAAAAAAAAACAAGAAAAAAAAAACTATTTTGTTATGTAATCAACACAGCATACAACACAAACCAGCTGAAACATGGATCGTGATGCATGACGTCAGAGCTGAATATCATTTTCAGTACCGAGGCCCCCTATTCAACTGTAACTCCTCCTTCTTTCGAGGCGGCCCTGCTTGGAGGTTGGGCAGCTCTGTCAAGCAGGGCACATCGACCAGAGGTCTATTGTACCCAAACCCTAAAATCATGATTAGCATGAAATCCCTACGGCTGAAATAAAATTCAGCAAGCACCTTACAGGAACATCTTGCAGTTCCCAGGCATTATGCTATCTTGTAACAAAAACACATACCAAAACTTGATTGAAAATATAAAAAATCGAAACAATATACCATTTCATTACATCAATTGCTGTACAGAGAGAAGTAATAATTTTTTTATGGATATCCTAGTGTAATTTCAGTGATCTCAGTCCAGCATTACTTTTGAGTCTTCCCTGCATTAAAAATTTCTGATTTTTTTTCTTTTTTTTGTCTTGATATTTGTTTTCACATTCGTATTTAATCTCCCACAAAATTTTACGTTTATTGTATATATTTGAATATTTTCTAGCAATGGATGAGTGGTGAAAACTTTTTTATTTGTTTTAAAGGTGCTATGGAATTTAGTGAATCAAATTTAGATGAACCAGAAGATGAAATTTTAGCTGAGCTGAAACGACTCCAAAAGGAGCTTATACCGGTATGCAACAGAAATTTAAGACAGAAAAAACACCTTTTAGCAATGGCGAAAGCTGAAATAAAGAAACAAGATGTTAAAAAGAAATTAAAAGAAATAGATGCAAAGGTACTTCCAACATTTAATTCATTACCTTGATGTGTTTCACTCTAGCATTTTTCCATAACTAAATAATATCTAAGTTGGTTTTTTTAATATCGAAGATTGTCCAAACCTACATTTAGGACTGAGGGTGAAAAAAAAAATGAAAAAGGACAAGCAGTGTTATTTTATGGCATAAAATTTATCTGCATTAAACTAAATAGAGTTAACTTTTTTATTAAATATTTTAATTGTATGGTATTTAAAAAAAATATTATTTCAATTTTATTTGGACTTGAATACATGAATTTGTGCACAATTATTAATTGGTGAGAAATGTCTAAATGGTAAAAATGTCTTTAAAATTTATACAAACATATGTGAATACAGTACAAAGTCCCATATCCAGATGTTTGTTTACCGGAAGGGTCTCTTTTCCAGACACAATAATCAAAATACACAAAACTCTTTTCCTTTTTTAGAAAAAAATAATAATAATTTTTTTTCTTTTCGACCTGTTAAAAAGGTATGCACGGATGAAAGTTCTCTGCTTTTCCACTTCTGTATGATTTTTAGCCAATTTCTGCTATAATATTTTTAAAAAATTGGATATCACGAAAACAAAACCCGTCATTTAATTTTAGTGCGAAAAAAATTGCGTATTTTTTTGCACGTCTCACATAGAAGGATTATTACTGCAAGAATCATGCTCTCCATTTTAGAGTGCGCAAAATGTTAACATTTTGAAAAATAAGGGATTCGTGAGGGAATCGTCCCGACATGAGCGGGTCATAAAGTGATTATTCCAAAGCGCGTTTCGGAATTTGTGGATCGTAAAAATCTGAATTAAAGATAAAATTTAGATTTTAAAACTATGTGAAAATCCCAAGCTATTGAAAATGTGATCGACAACATCACCTGGCTATAAAATCATCACAAATCCAGTAAATCAAAAAGTAATTCTTCAAATGCAAGATTCGAAATTTCCCGTCTGTGATAATGGAACATTAAAAAACTCTGAAAATCCATACAATAACTAACAAAAATGCTATCGTAAAACCCCATGGGATTCAGAGTGATTCGTTAACAAGTGCGAAATGCTAAATTCAAATTTTGCCGAACAAAATAATACCATATTAAAGCATTGAGAAATTAAAAAGCCAAGTACAAATCCATCTTAATAACTCTGAAAAGACGGTTGACAAAACCATACGGATTCACTGTAGAATCGTCGCTGATCTAGTGGATCGAGAAATTATAACCAAGCGAAATGCGTGATTTGAAATTTCTGGTGTATTAAATATCGATATTTTAATAACCATATGGAAATCTGAACTAAAAATAGTGCAACCATCAAACCACCTGAGTTTATACTGTTTATATATAATAGTTTGTTTACCTTAAAAGTCAATTATCCGGAAAAATCAATTTTATTTTGAAAAATCAATTTAATTTTGTGAAGTCCAGACTTTCCACTGTATTTGTGCCACCCAGTTGAGGGAAATTTGCAATCGGTATATGTAGTTGATACCTGTGTCGGTGACCATTTATGGTTTCCCAAGTGTGTGCAAAAAAACTTTTTCTGAATTTCTAGCTTCTGAGTAATTTTTTCATTCAATATACTGGTAAAATAAAGTCCTTACATTTAGAGTTGGATCACCTACGCAAATTGCACCAAACTGCTCCGAAACAAAATTTCTGCTTTTTCTGCTCCAAAATGCCATATAATTTTTATAAAATGTGCCAAGCTGTTCTAAAATAGGTGTCATAATTGAACGAAAAGTGCAACTTTGGCTTCATTTGGTGTCGCAATTGTGCACAATATGATAAATAATTGGTTGGATATAAATTTAATTATAATCATAACTGGTAATTATAATTTTATTATATTCATAACTAGTAGAACCCTTGTGATCCTTTCACAGTTCTAAAGTATATCACCATTCTTGAGCAATTGTATGACAGAGATTGTTCACAAAAGAAAAATTATATTAACAGATAAAATTGTATTCGAAAAATGTCTGAACTAGTTTTTTATAAAAATAAAAAAGTGAAACTGGTTCAAGGTAGAACACTTTCCCTGACCCAAAAACTGTATAATTTTGTTTTCTTATTCGCGAGATATCATAGTTAATCAAATTTATACTTTGCTCTTTAGTTGATGGAAATATATCGAGAGATCTATGCTGCAAGGTGTGAAAATAAAGCCCCACCAAAGAAATATGCTGCACAAATCAGAAAAACAATATCAGAGAGACAACTGATTCTCAAGCAGTTGGAAGACATGACTTAAAGGATCCTTTTTGATTGCTGCGAGCTTTCATGATAAACTTTTAAATGTCATCCTTGCTTTTTTCAATATGCTGGGTACTTCAAAATAATAACAATTAAGCTGGCATATAATAAGAATTGGAGAAAAAGAAATTGTCTTGGAACACAGGGATCCAAATGTTGTCTGGAATAACTAGAGGGGTTACAAAATATATATAACGTACTAAAAAATAAATAAGCATGTTCTACGCAATCTTACTTAGTTAGGTTCTTCACATTGTTTCGCGCATAAAGCATCCGACATACCTCTCCACGCCCTTCTGGTCTTCTGCTTTTGATCAGGTTTCCCCCATTCCTTTAAATTTTGACCCCTTAAAATGTGTTTGCATTTGTTTTGAGCACCTCTTTGACTTTTCATCATGGATACATCATTCTAATGTTCCATATTCTAACTCTTTGTTTTTCTTTGGGAGACAAGAGTTTCCTGGGGCTTTACCCTTGTCAGTTAATGACCTTGTCACCCTCAGAAAAAAAATCATCACAAGACATCAGTGCATCAAGAGTTTGGTTGGAAGGCCTGATAATCAGTCTATAAGTAGAATAGGAGGAAACGTTTCCATTAATATTTTCCTACTCATTTACGATCAGCGCTGCCGGAGTTGTTCAAACTGCTTGCCTTGAGACATACTATATAGCTATCAATGTTACATAGTATGTTGCATCTTCTGTTACAAGTTGTATCTGGATCACATCCTATTGGCATAGTTTTGACCATCACCTGTTGTAGCTTTGGGATGTAAATGTGTAACCTATGTTGAAGGATATTGTCTATTTTCGTCATACGTTATATGTAATTTGCAATCCTTACCTAGAGGCTCTGTTTACCATTTCCAATCCCATGTCCCTATGTTTTTTAGTGTTTTTTATTCCTTTTGTATGCCTGATTTACCCTTTTATTTCGGCAATGATCTTTTGATGCACCCTGTATATGGTGACACACTTCTGTGATTTTTCTCTTCCTGAGTAGTCTTTTATGTATATTATGATTAAAAAAAACTGTATTGTGTAATTTTTTTTTAAAAAAATGTCTGTGAATCTTTTCTGACAGAAGCAAATATTAAGTTGTAGAGCAACTTTTTCTGAATAAAAGCTGTCTGTTAATAGAATTTTCATTGAAAAGTGTTTGTTTTGTTAAAATGAAAACAATAGTTCTATATTAAAATGCACAGAGAGTGCCTCAATTCTGAGCGAGCCTATATTAAAAAAATTTGAAATTGTTATTATTAATTTGCTTTCAAGTTATTTTTACTATCATTTTTGCAACAGCACAGTAGTATTTATTGCTCTATTTAAACAATAAAATCAAATCCAAATGTAAAGACAACAGAGCATGTGACATTTTTTTAATTTTGGTTTATAATTTGTTACGAACTGTACAAGTTTTGCTTTTATGCAAAAAAAAGCAAATATTGTATAAAACTGAAATACAATATAAAAAATCTCACAACAGCCAGTTTTCAGTCAAAATGTTGATGGAGATTATGGCTTCGCAATTTACAAACCAACTGTGGTAATGTGATCAGCTTCCTTTCTCAGACAAGCTGGTACCCATAAATTTGAAGATCGATGGGTTTTAAGCCGAACAAGAAATAGAAACCCAGTTCACATTGTCAGCTTAGCCTGACCACTGTGCCAATTGTGGATTTTACATTAATATAAATGACACTATTCTCCAACGCCACCATTTTTTTTACCTTAATGTAAATTACATTATTCTCATTATAAATTTCTAAACATTGCTATCCTGAATAATAATAAGGTGTATTTTCTCATCTGATAGTAATATAAGGTAATAATAAGGTGTATTTTCTCAGCTGATTGTTGTTACCATATTTTATTGTATATTATCTTATTGTTACCATATTTTTTATTAATTTAATTAGAATTAATTATTATAATTGTTATATGATTATGATTATTGTTATAATTAATTATGATTAATTAATGTAATTATACTTGGTGAGAAGTAAATTTGAAATGCTACCCGGACCTTTAAGGGTTAAAATGTGTGTCAGGGTTGAAACGAGAAGCAAAGATAAGAATCAAGTGTGGCATATTTCTTCTCCTGTGACAGCACACTAACATTAATGTGTCTGGATGAACAATTTGGAATTCACCTGTCTTTGTATAGCAGTTTCGCTGAAGGGGACAAGATTTCAAGATATCGAAGCCATCAAGAAGACTGTAACGTCACTATTAAAGAGCATTCCGAAAGAGGACTTTAAAACTTCTTTCCGAAATTTGAACAGCCGAGCACAGACGTGCATTACGGCTGATGGGGATTACTTCGAATAATATTAAATGGCTATGCGTTTAATTTTATTTTCTTCTGAGTTATTCTATGAGTCCTGGAAATTAATAGCCGGACCTTGTATATTATACTCATTATAATTTTCCAAACATTGCTATCCTGAATAATAATAAGGTGTATTTTCTCAGCTGATTGTTGTTACCGTATTTTATTATATATTATCTTATTGTTGCCATATATTCTATTAATTTAATTAGAATTAATGATTATAATAATCAATTATTATTATAATTAATCATTATAATAATTAATTATTATACTTAATTATTATAATGATTAATTATAATAATTAATTATTATAATTATTGTTATATTTAATTATGATTATTGTTATATTTAATTATGATTATTGATATAATTAATTATGATTATTGTAATAATTAATTATGATTAATTAATGTAATTATAACTGGTGAGAAGTAAATTTGAAATGCTACCCTGACCTTTAAGGGTTAAAATATGTGTCAGGATTGAAACGAGAAGCAAAGATAAGAATCAAGTGTGGTACATTTCTTCTCCTGTGACATCACACTAACATCAATGTGTCTGTTTGGAATTCACCTGTCTTTGTATAGCAGCCAGAAAATATATTATTTGCATTTTTTTTTTCAACTTTAGTCAATGTAAACAAAAAAACTTTTAAGTCTTTTATTAGTTTTAAACAAAAGATAGCCAAGTTTTTTATTTTTTGTATGTTTCCATTTATGTAAGTTTTGCATGGATGTAAATGGCATTAATTGATTAAACCTTTCTAAAACATGACAGTAAAAAAAAAAAAAAATAAACCTTGCTATTATTTATAATAGTTAGATTCCTGCTCTGCTTAAGCAATAATTGTTATTCATTTTTTTGTTTACTTAATTTTTTTAATGTGCTAACATCAGCTTTTCTATTTACAATTTTGCTATTGTAATTATTCTAAATTAAAAAAAAAAATAGTTTAATTGATTTAAAATCAATTACTATATGCCTTATACACTGGGCAATCAAGGTTTTGATACTTGTATATTTTGGTTTGAAAAATTTTGCATGCAGTGAATATTATCTTACTTTTTTATTATAAGGACAGATGTAAAACTTTTTATGTTGTATTAGTTTTTTTACTAACTTTATAAACCCCATAAATATTTTTTTGTGAATGCTAATTTATTAAGTAAATGATAATCAAATTAATGATTAATATCACACATCAGTTCTGTTTAAATACACTAAGAAATAGAGATTAATTGCATTTATTGTTATTATTCTGTTTTGTTAAAATGATATAACAAAGTTTTTTTTTTTTATCCATTTTATTTTCAAATTGCAAGAATAGCACAAATAATTTTCTTAGTTCCTTACTTTTAGTAAATTTCTAGTAATAGTCAAAGAATAAGTTAACATTTTTATGAAACATGATGATATGTTATAAGGCTTATAATTGAAGTAAAGTATTTATCATCCCTTGATATGCTTTTATAATTCATTAGACTCTTGATTAACTAGGGAGGTCGAGAAATGCTTTGTCAGGGATAAGGATAAGCGTCTATCCCAAATAATGTAATTTATACCAATGTCGCTGGAAAAGAATAATAGAAAACGTATAAACTTTTTTATCTAATGTCACATACAGTTTGATCGTCAAACTAATATTCATACATTAATGATTTAACTGTTTGTCCTTTTTCCAAATTTTTAATTATTGTCATCTTTTGATTTATACTAAGAATGGCTCATTTGTATTTAAACATGTTAACGTTACAAACAGAATATAAAGCATGGGGAAATTTTTTAACCTGAATGATGCTCATAATTCGACGAAAGTTGAATCATATCTTGCTTCGTACCACCCCTCCAGCATTCCAGAGCAAAAGCAAAACCAATTGGTAGTACTAAAGCTCAGATGGATGAGTCCAATACAATAGGAAGGAAATGTCAAGAAGAATGTGTGTTTTTTGCATATTTCCATGGTGGCAATACATATTTCTCTCTCTCTTTTTTATTTATTTATTTTTTATCAGCCTTTGGATAATCTGCTACCCAGATAATCCAATCCCAGTTAATAGGGAGTCTACTATACTATCTATCATAAATGCTTGTTTTTTTCCTGTAAGATTTTATTTATGTGTTTTGTTTATATATTTTTCATTCATGTAGTTGTATATTATTCAAATTATGCCTTTCATTGCAAATCCTTGATTTACATTCATTATTGCATTTGTATATATTGTGCTAATAAATTCATTAGTTTCAATTTTCGAATGGCATACAATTTTATTTCTCTATCAGAAACTGTTCTATTCCAGCATAATTTATAATCACCAATTTTTTTTTTATTGCTATATTATTCTAGAATATTTTAATTGGAGGTTTTCAACCTTTTACACTTAAAAGTACTTTCAAGAACCAATGATAAGAATGCAAGCACTTAAAATCAACCATCAAAGTTTACAACAGAGCTGCGAAATCGGTTGTTCAAGAAATATTTATTTTTACCTGACTTCGAAGAATCTAATTGGGACTTATGCTGTGTTAAACTTTACTCTGAATATAATATTATTGCTAAATAAGTTATTATTAGTATCAAATTATGCTAATCTATTTTTATGTATGATTAGAATGAAATTTAACTTAAAATTATGTTTTAAATTTAAACTTAAGTAGTTTTATGTCATTTAATAGCTGCAGTAATTTAACTTTGTGATAAGTTTTGCTTTATACAATAGTCCAAATATTCATTCAAGTAATATTTTTGTTTTCATAATTATAAATACAGGGTGACCATTACATGAAATAAAATATATAAACATGAAATAAAATCTTCAAACTTCTGAACGGTTAGAGTGATGAAGTTCAAACTTCGTGGTTGGCAACTGGCCATGATGAAAATTAGTATGCGCACGCAACTTGTTGTCGGCCAGTTGCAGGGTGCCAAAGCGTATATCACTGAACCTACTATGCGAGCAGTATAAGCCCGATTGCATAGCAGGAGGGAATCAACCTTGAGACCCTGCTACAAATTGCTGTTGAAGACCTGCATTAGTTACTTAGTTAGTCATTTAGTGTTTTACAAAAAATTCAGTTGTCCAGAATAGTTTATTTTATAACTGTCGTTGAACAGCCGACCCAATTTTTAGTTTATGACTATCAATGAACTACGTAGCCTTGTAATTCTGAACCCAATCCAGAGGAGAAGGGAGCTCTTGGATCAAGTATTGGGAGAGATATGCATTTGGCTTTTTGATGGAACTAACCCGCATTTGCGTTACATGGAGAAAAAAGCCATGTAAACCCCCCCCCCACGGTAGTAAAACGTAAAGGGGACNCTTGATTTCACGAATTTTTTTTTCTAATCCCTCGATAACTTGAATTTTTTTTTCTCCATAAATAGTGTAGATTTTTTTTCTGAAAATAAAAAAAAATATTCAAAAAAAAAATTTAAAATTTTAAGAATTGAAAACCAGTTCTCATAATGATAAACTTTAAAAAAAAAAATGGACATAAAGACGTCAGTGGCATGGAATGATGTGTCTTTCTATACGATAATGAATGGTTTCAAGAAGGCTGGATTCATTAAAGATGACGAAAGTAGTCAAACAATCAATATCGTTAATTCTGCTGAAAACTACACCGAAAATTATTGGGACAGATTGACCGAACTCGTGAAACTCGATGACATGGAATTTCATGACTTCGTAAGCGTAGATGATGCAGTAACAGTGTGTGGTCAGTGGGATGACAATGATATCATCGCTCAAACGAAAGCTTCTTGTGAACTATCAGAAGAAGAGGATGAGAAAATTTAAGATTTACTGCCCAATG